CCAGTCTCTACTAAAAATACAAAGATTAGCTGGGTGTGGTGGTGCACACCCTGTAATCCCAGCTACCTGGGAGGCTGAGACAGGAGAATTGCTTGAACCTGGTAGGCGGAGGTTGCAGTGATCCAAGATCTTGTCACTGCACTCCAGCCTGGGCAACAGAGAGAGACTCCATCCCAAAAAGAAAGAAAAGCAAGAAAAAAAAAAGGAACTTGTAATGTAGACCAGGCGTGGTGGCTCATGCCTGTAATCCTAGCACTTTGGAAGGCCGAGGTGGGTGGATCACTTGAGGTCAGGAGTTCAAAACCAGCCTGGCCATCATAGTGAAACCCCATCTTGGGGTAGGGAATAGACATTTAAATACATTTTTAAAAAATATAGCAACATGTGCCGAGCTTAGTGGCACATGCCTGTAATCCCAGCACGTTGGGGGGCCTAGGCAGAAGGATCCTTTGAGCCCAAGAGTTTGAGACAAGCGAGGGCAATGTAGTGACATCCTCTCTCTACAAAAAATTTTAAATATTAGCAGGCTGTGGTGGTGCGAATCTATGGACCCAGCTACTCAGAAAGCTGAGGGGGGAAGGATGGCTTGAGCCCAGGAGGTTGAGGATGCACCTGAGTGGTGATCAGGCCACAGCACTGCAGCCTGGGCAACAGGGTGATACCTTGTCTCTAAATAAATAAATAAGTAGGCCAGGCACGGTGGCTCATGCTTGTAATCCCAGCGCTTTGGGTGGCCAAGACGGGTGGATCATGAGATCAGGAGATCGAGACCATCCTGGCTAACACGGTGAAACCCCGTCTCTACTAAAAATACAAAACATTGGCTGGGTGAGGTGGCTCACGCCTGTAATCCCAGCGCTTTGGGAGGACAAGGTGGGCAGATCACAAGGTCAGGAGTTCAAGATCAGCCTGGCCAATATGGTGAAACTCTCTACTAAAAGTGCAAAAATGAGCTGGGCATGGTGGCTTGCACCTGTAGTCTCAGCTACTCGGGAAGCTAAGGCAGAAGAATTGCTTGAACCAGCCTGGGCGACAGAGCAAAATACTGCACTCTAGCCTGGGCAACAGAGCAAGACTATGTCTCTCTCTCTCTCTCTCTCTCTCTCTCCTCTCTCTCTCTCTCTCTATACACACACACACACACACACACACACACACAGCAACATTAAACATTAACAGGAATATATATATATGTGTATATATATGTGTATATATATGTGTATACACACACACATACACACACACAGCAACATTAAACATTAACAGGAATATATATATATGTGTATATATATGTGTATACACACACACACACACACACACACACACACACACATATAGCAATTAAACATTGTGAGAACCAGGTCCTAAGGCTTCAAAGATTACTTAAATGAAGGAAAAATGAAGCAGGTAGAAATTTAAAAAAAAAAGAAAAAAATTATGGAGACAGATTTCTCTTGTGTAGGACCTCAAGAGTTTATACAGGCCGGCTGCAGTGGCTCATGCCTGTAATCCCAGCACTTTGAGAAGCTGAGGCAGATGGATCACTTGAGGCCAAGAGTTCGAGACCAACCTGGCAAACATGGCAAAACCCTGTCTATACTGAATATACAAAAATTAGCCAGGTATGGTGGCACACACCTGTGGTTCCAGCTACTCAGGAGGCTGAGACACGAGAATCATTTGAACCTGGGAGGTGGAGGTTGCAATGAGCCGAGATCGTACCATTGCACTCCAGTTTGGGTGACAGACGAAACTCTGTCTTAGAAAGTAAAAAAAAAAAACAACTAAAAATAAAAAAGAGTTTATTCAGAGTGGCTTATACAGAGTTGCTGGGTGTGGTGGCTCATGCCTGTACTTTCAGCACTGTGAGAGTCTGAGGCAAGAGAATTACTTGAAGACAGGAGTTGGAGGTTGCAGTGAGCTATGATTGTGACACTGCACTACAGGTTGTGTGATAGAGCAAGACCCTGTCTCTAAAAAAGTAAATCAATAAAATAAAAATAAAAGAGTTTGCATAGTAGATGATAGATAGTTAAACAAATATTCTTTTATTTTTTTGTCTTTTTTTAAATGCCACTTTCAAACAAATATTCTCAAGAAAGAGTAATATAATTCTGCTACAAGTTAGGCTCAAGGAAATCATTGAAGATGTGTACAATAATTTTATATAAGATGTATTGTTGTATTATTGTGGCAAAAGCTTCAAGACCACTTAAATAATCAACAGAAGCGGATGCAGTAAATGAATTACAGCACACACCTTGGATGGAAGAAATATGCCTTTAAATTCGAAGCTATAAATAGAATTGTTTTTTTGAGACAGGATCTCATTCTGTCGCCCAGGCTGGAGTGCAGTGGCATGATTTTGGCTCACTGAAACCTCCATCTCTCGGGTTCAAGTGATTCTGGTGCCTCAGCCTCCTGAGTAGCTGGGATTAGAGGTGTCTGCCACTATGCCCAACTAATTTTTGTATTTTTAGTAGAGATGGGTTTTCACCATGTTGGCCAGGCTGGTCTCGAACTATTGACCTCAAGTGATCTGCCCACCTTGGCTTCCCAAAGTGCTAAGATTATAGGTGTGAGCCACTGCATGGCCAGCTGCTATAAACATAATTAAATAGTCTGGGCACTATGGCTCACACCTGTAATCCCAGCACTTTGGGAGTCCAAGGCAGGCAGATCACTTGAGGTCGGGAGTTCAAGACGAGCCTGGCCAGCATGGTCTATCTCTACTAAAAATGCAAAAATTGGCAGGGTATGGTAGTGGGTACCTGTAATCCCAGTTACTCAGGAGGCTGAGGCAGGAGATTGCTTGAACCCGGGAGGCAGGGTTTGTGGTGAGCCAAGATCAAGCCACTGCACTCCAGCCTGGGTGTCAGAGTGAAACTCCTTCTCAAAAAAAAAAAAAAAAAAAAAAAAAAGAAAGAAAGAAAAAGAAAAAATATATAAAATTAAACGAAATGGGGACATACCACATTTTGGAAGGTAGATTACTATGGTGGTTTAGAGAATGGTCTTAAAAACAGGCAGCCCATTATTCAATCTCATGGCCATGTTTCCAGGCCTAGAAGCTCTGGGCATCCTGGGATGGGTCCTGGAATCTCAAGGGTAAAACCACTTTGCTTTTCAAGATACATCAAAATTCTTTAAAATGTACTTAAAGGCAAGGCATGGTGGCTCATGTCTGTAATCCCAGCACTTTGAGAGACCAAGAGGCAGGAGGATTGCTCGAGCCCAGGAGTTGGAGGCTGCAGTGAGCTATGATTGCACCACCGCACTCCAGCCTGGGCAACAAAGCTAGTGAGACTCTCTTTTTGTTTTGTTTTGTTTTGTTTTGAGACAGAGTCTTCCTCTGTCACTCAGACTGGAGTGCACTGGTGTGATCTCAGCTCACTGCAACCTCTGCCTCACAGGTTCAAGCGAGTCTCCTGCCTCAGCCTCCTGAGTAGCTGGGGATTACAGGTGCATGCCACCACACCTGGCTTAATTATTTTTTCCTTTTTGAGACAGAGTCTTTCTCTGTCGCCAGGCTGGAGTGCAGTAGTGCAGTCTTAGCTCACTGCAACCTCCGCCTCCCGGGATCAAGCAATTCTTTCGCCTCAGCCTCCCAAGTAGCTGGGACTATAGGTGTGTGCCAAATACCAGGCTATTTTTTTTTTGTATTTTAAGTAGAGACCGGGTTTCACCATGTTGGCCAGGATGGTCTCGATCTCTTGACCTCGTGATCCACCCGCCTCGGCTTCCCAAAGTACTGGGATTACAAATGTGAGCCACCGCGCCTGACAATTTTTTGTAATTTTAGTAGAGATGGGGTTTCACGGTATTAGCTAGGATGGTCTCCATCTCCTGATCTCATGATCTGCCCACCTCAGCCTCCCAAAGTGCTGGGATTACAGGCATGAGCCACCACGCCCAGCTAACTCTGTTTCTTTTTAATTTTTTTTTTTTGAGAGGAAGTCTTGCTCTGACACCCAGGCTGCATGCAATGTTGCAATCTCTGCTCACTGCATCACTGCAACCTCTGCCTCCCAGGTTCAAGTGATTTTCCGGCCTCAGCCTCCTGAGTAGCTGGGATTACAGGCGCATACCACCACGCCTGGCTAATTTTTGTATTTCTAATAGAGGTGAGGTTTCACCATGCTGGCCAGGCTGGTCTTGAACTCCTGACCTCACGTGATCTGCCTGATTTACTTCCCAAAGTGCTGGGATTACAGGCATCAGCTACCACACCAGTCCCTTTTTAATGTTTTGTTTTGTTTTGTTTTGAGACAGACATTCATTCTTCTTGCCCAGGTTGGAGTGCAATGGCACAATCTTGGCTCACTGAAACCTCTGCCTCCTGGGTTCAAGCTATTCTCCTGCCTCAGCCTCCCGAGTAACTGGGATTAGAGGCATGCACCACCATGCCCAGCTATTTTTTTGTTTTAGTAGAGATGGGGTTTCTCCATGTTGGTCAGGCTGGTCTTGAACTCCAGACCTCAGGTGATCCGTCTGCCTCAGCCTCCCAAAGTGTTGGGATTACAGGCATAAACCACTGCGCCCAGCCTAAAATTTTTTTTAACTTTTTTTTTTTTTTTTTTTTTTTTGAGATGGAGTTTGTTACCCAGGCTGGAGTGCAATGGCGCGATCTCAGCTCACTGCAACCTCTGCCTCCGGGGTTCAGGCAATTCTCCTGCCTCAGCCTCCTGAGTAGCTGGGATTACAGGCATATGCCGCCATGCCCAGCTAATTTTTTGTATTTTTAGTAGAGACAGGGTTTCACCATGTTGACCAGGATGGTCTCGATCTCTTGACCTCGTGATCCACCCGCCTCGGCCTCCCAAAGTGCTGGGATTACAGGCGTGAGCCACCGTGCCCGGCAACTTTTTTTTTTTTTTTTTAAGACAAGGCCGGGCTCGGTGGCTCACACCTGTAATCCCAGCACTTTGGGAGGCAGAGGCAGGTGGATCATGAGGTCAGGAGTTTGAGACCAGCCTGACCAACATGGTGAAACCCTGTCTCTACTAAAAATATAAAAGATTAGCCCAGCATGGTTGTGCAAGCCTGTAATCCCAGCTACTCAGGAGGCTGAGGCAGGAGAATTGCTTGAACCCAGGAGGCAGAAGTTGCAGTGAGCCAAGATTGTGCCATTGCACTCCAGCCTGGGTGACAGATTGAGACTCCATCTCAAAAAAAGAAAAAAATAGACAAGGTCATGCCTGACCAACTCTGTCTCTTTAAAAAAAAAAAAGAGGACTTCTAGGGAGGCTGAAATAGGAGAATTGCTTGAACCCAGGAGGCAGAGGCTGCAGTGAGCTGAGATTGCACTACTGCACTCCAGCCTGGGCAACAAGAGCGAAACTCTGTCTGAAAAAAAAAAGACTTCTGGCTGGGTGTGGTGGCTCATGCCTGTAATTCTAGTACTTCGGGAGGCCGAGGCAGGCGGATCACCTGAGGTCAGGAATTTGAGATCAGCCTGGTCAACATGGTGAAAACCCGTCTCTACTAAAAATACAAAAATTAGCCAGGCATGGTGGCACACGCCTGTAATCCCAGCTACTCGGGAGGCTGAAGCAGAAGAATTGCTTGAATTTGGGAGGCGGAGGTTGTAGTGAGTGGAGATGGAATCACTGCCCTCCAGCAGCCTGGGCGATGGAGCAAGACTCAGCGGGGGAGGGAGGAATACAAATCTCAACTGAGCACATGTAAAGATTCTCAACCTCACTAATAATCAAAGCAGTGCAAACAAACGAATAATGAAATGTTGTTCTTCATTTAACACACTGGTAATGACCAAAAGTAAAAACAGCAAACACTTATATGGCAAGTCCTCTTGCCAATTTAAGTATACATTTGGTCTTTGAAAGGATTCTGTGAGGCCAGGAGCGGTGGGTCTCATCTGTAATCCTAGCACTTGGAGGCACAGGTGGGTGGATCGCCCAAGCTTGGGAGTTCAAGAGCAGCCTGGGCAACATGGGGAAACTCCACCTCTACTAAAAATACAAAATTAGCTGGGCATGGTGGTGGGTGCCTGTGGTCCCAGCTACTGGAGAGTCTGAGGTGGGAGATCACTTGAGCCTGGGAGGTAGAGTTTGCAGTGAGCTGAGATCATGCCACTGCATTCCAACCTGGGTGACAGAGTGAGACCCCATCTAAAAAAAAAAAAAAAAGACGGTGAGATGGGAATGATTTTAAATCCATTTAACAGATGAGGGAGCTGTGGCCCAGAGAGACTAAGTCAGTTGGTCAAGGTCTCAAATATTACATACTAAAGATAAAGTTCAGAGTTGCTAGTGATGGAAAAATGTGGGCATTTTCATACACTGTTGGTAGGGGCACAAATTGATTCAACTGTATTTATCAGGGGTGGTATAATAATATGAATACCTTTGAGGCAGGAGAATAGGGTCTGGAGGCAGGGAACCTAAGACCATTTGACGCTGACTTCCTAGAACTAAATTGAAAGGAAAATCCTGGCAGGGAGCGGTGGCTCACACCTGTAATCCTAGCACTTTGGGAGGCCGAGGCGGGTGGATCATCCGAAGTTGGGAGTTCAAGACCAGCCTGGCCAACATGGTGAAACCCTATTTCTACTAAAAGTACAAAAATAAGCTGGGTATGATGGCGGGCGCCCAGAGTTTTGCTATTATCCCACCTACTCTGGAGGCTGGGGCAGGAGAATCGCTTGAACCTGGGAGGCAGAGGTTGCAGTGAGCTGAGATTAGGCCATTGCACTCCAGCCTGGTGAAAAGAGCAAAACTTTGTCTCAAAAAAAAAAAAAAAAAAAAAAAAAGAGAGAGAAAGAAAGAAAAGAAAGAAAATCTTAACTTTTCATGCCTAAGTAACTACTAAAGGACCAGAGGCTATTCCCTTTGCAACCCCCCACCTTTTCTGCCAGGCAGGTGGGAAATTGAAAGTACCTCTGGATTGGTGTCTTTTTGCAGCCAATCAGACGTTTGCATAAGAGTGTAACTTGTAACTTCACTTCAACCTCTCATTGGTTGCTGTCCACAACCAATCAGACTGATTGCAGTACACCACTTCATTTACATGTGGTGAACACCAAGTGGCCAATGGGAAACATCTAGAGGGTATTTGGACCTGAGAAGATTCTGTATTCCAGCTCTTGAGCAGATGCTTGGCCGGCTCCCACCCTGCAAAGTGTACTTTCCATTTTCAATAAATCTCTGCTTTTGTTGCTTCATTCTTTCCTTCCTTTGTGCATTTTGTCCAATTATTTATTCAAAACACCAAGAACCTGGACACCCTCCTCCTCCAGTAACACCTTTTCTGACCTAATGATTTCTTTTCCCTCCCTCCCCTCCCTCCCTCCCTCCCTCCCTCCCTCCCTTCCTTCCTTCCTTCCTTCCTTCTTTTTTGAGACGGAGTCCTGTGCTGTTGCCCAGGCTGGAGTGCAGAGGCATGTGATTACGGCTCACTGCAACTTCTGCCTCCTGGGTTCAAGCAATTCTCCTGTCTCAGCCTCCTGAGTTCCTGGGACTACAGGTGCATGCCACCACACCCCGCTAATGTTTTTGTATATTTAGTAGAGATGGGGTTTCACCGTATTGGTCAGGCTGGTCTCAAACTCCAGACGTCAGGTAATCCAACAGCCTCGGCCTCCCAAAGTGCTGGCATTACGGTTGTGAGCCACGAGTGTTTCACCATTTGACCTGGCTGGTCTCAAAACTTTTGACCTCAAGCAATCTGCCTTCCTCGGCCTCCCAAAGTGCTGGGATTACAGGCATGGGCCACCACATCTGGCCCTCATTTTTTTTTTTTTTTTTTGAGACAGAGTTTTGCTCTTGTTGCCCAGGCTGGAGAGCACTGGTGTGATTTCAGCTCACTGCAACCTCTGCCTCCTGTGTTCAAGCCATTCTCCTATCTCAGCCTACTAAGTAGCTTGGATTACAGGTGTGTGCCAGCACGCCCAGCTAAATTCGTATTTTTAGTAGAGATGGGGTTTCACCATGTTGGTCAGGCTGGTCTGGAACTCCTGACCTCAAATGATCCACCTGACTTGGCCTCCCAAAGTGCTGGGATTACAGGCCATTGTGCCTGGCTTTTTTTTTTTTCCAAAAGAAAATGGTCTCACTTTGTTACCCAGGCTAGAGCATAGTGGCTTGATCATATCTCACTATAACCTCAAGCTCCTGTGCTCTAGGGATTCTCCCCACTCAGACTACCAAATAGCTGGGACTACAGACACATGCCGCTGTGCCTGGCTAATTTTCTAAAATTTTTGTAGCCACAGTGTCTCTCCTTGTTGCCCAGCTGGTTTTGAAACCCTGGGCTCAAGCAATCCTCTCACTTTAACCTCCCAAAGTATTGGGATTATAGGTGTGAGCCACCATGCCCAGCCTCAATGATTCAATTTCTAAGAACAAATCTGAAGGAAAAAATGGAAATCTTGGGCAGGATTGTTTTTTTCAGGAATGTTCAGTCTAGGGTTTTTTTCAATTTAAGAAATAGTATACTTTGGGAGGCCGAGGCAGGAGGATCACTTGAGGCTGGGAGTTCAAGACCAGCCTGGGCAACTTAGCAAGAACCTATCTCTCAAAAAAATTTTTAAAATTAGCCTGCATGGTGGTCCCTGCCTGTAGTCCAAATTACTGGGGAGACTGAGATGGGAGGGTTGCTTGAGCCCAGGAATCGGAAGCTGCAGCAAGCTATGATGCCACTTACTTTATTGAAAAAGTAAGTGTCTTGGACTGTTCATGTTGCTATAAAGGAATAACTGAGGCTGAATTATTTATTTATTTATTTACTTTTGAGACAGAGTCTTGCTTTGTCATCCAGACTGGAGTGCAGTGGCGGGATCTCAGGTCACTGCAACCTCCTCCTCCTGGGTACAAGCAGTTCTCATGCCTCACCCTCCTGAGCGGTTGGGACTGCATGCATGTGCCACCAGGCCCAGCCAATTTTTTTACTTCTAGTAGAGAGGGAGGTTTCACCATGTTGGCCAGGCTGTTCTCGAACCCCTGACCTCAGGTGATCTGCCCACTTTGGCCTCCCAAAGTGCTGGGATTACAGGCCTGAGCCACTGTGCCTGGCAGGTTATTTATTTATTTTGAAATGCAGTTTCACTCTTGTTGCCTAGGCTGGAGTGTAATGGCACGATCTTGGGTCACCAAAACCTCTGCCTCCCAGGTCCAAGCAATTCTCCTGCCTCAGCCTTCCGAGTAGCTGGGATTACAGGCATGCACCACCATGCCCAGCTAATTTTGTATTTTAGTAGATATGGAGTTTCTCCATATTGGTCAGGCTGGTCTCGAACTCCTGACTTCAGGTGATCTGCCTGCCTTGGCTTCCCAAAGTTCTGGGATTACAGGCGTGGGACACCACGTCTGGTCAGGTAATTTATTTTTTTTTATTTATTTTTGAGACAAGGTCTCACAGTGTTTGCCCAGGCTGGAGTGCAGTGGCTCAATCATAACTCACTGCAATCTTGAATTCCTGGGCTCAAGCACTCCTCCCACCTCAGTCTCCCAAGTAACTCCTGGCTAATTTTTTCTTTTTTTAGTAGAGAGTAAGTCGCACTATGTTGCCCAGCCTCATCTTTAACTCCTAGGCTCAAGTGATCTTCTTGTGGCTGGGCAATTTATTTATTTTTATTTATGCATGTTTTATATTTATATAACTAGGTCTCACTATGTTGCCCAGGCTGGTCTCCAACTCCTGAGCTCAAGCAACCCTCCTGTCTTGGCCTCCCAAAGTGTTAGGACTACAGGTGTGAGCCACTGTGCCTGGCATTTAAGTTTTTTTTTTTTTTTAAGACAGAGTTTTGCTCTGTTGCCCAGGCTGGAGTGCAATGGCATGATCTCGGTTCACTGCAACATCTGCCTCCTGAGTCCAAGAGATTCTCCTGCCTCAGCCTCCCAAGTAGCTGGGATTACAGGCGTTTGCCACCACACCTGGCTAATTTTTGTTATTTTTGATAGAGTTGGGGTTTCACCATATTGGCCAGGCTGGTCTTGAACTCCTGACCTCAGGTGATGCACCTGCCTCAGCCTCCTAAAGTACTGGGATTTTTGATAGAGTTGGGGTTTCACCATGTTGGCCAGGCTGGTCTTGAACTCCTGACCTCAGGTGATGCACCTGCCTCAGCCTCCTAAAGTACTGGGATTTTTGATAGAGTTGGGGTTTCACCATGTTGGCCAGGCTGGTCTTGAACTCCTGACCTCAGGTGATGCACCTGCCTCAGCCTCCTAAAGTACTGGGATTTTTGATAGAGTTGGGGTTTCACCATGTTGGCCAGGCTGGTCTTGAACTCCTGACCTCAGGTGATGCACCTGTGTCAGCCTCCCAAAGTACTGGGATTACAGGCATGAGCTAACGTGCCTGGCCTAAAAAATGTTTAAACATTTTTATTTATTAGTTATTTAAGTCTGTGTAATTCATAAAGTGAAGAAGTTTATGTGGCTCACAGTTCTGCAGACTATACAAGAAACATGACACCAGAATCTGTTTGGCTTCCGCTGAGGGCCTCTTGCTGCTTTCATTCATGGCCTAAGTCCAAAGGAAGCCACCATGCAGAGATCACATGGGGAGAGTCATGAAAGAGAGAGGGCATTTTGGGAGGCCGAGGCGGGTGGATCACGAGGTCAAGAGATCGAGAACATCCTGGTCAACATGGTGAAACCCCGTCTCTACTAAAAATACGAAAAATCAGCTGGGCATGGTGGTGCGTGTCTGTAATCCCAGCTACTCAGGAGGCCGAGGCTGGAGAATTGCCTGAACCCAGGAGGCGGAGGTTGCGGTGAGCCGAGATCCCGCCATTGCACTTCAGCTTGGGTAACAAGAGAGAAACTCCGTCTCAAAAAAAAAAAAAAAAAAAAAAAAAAAAAAAGAAAAGAAAGAGAGAGGGGACGTGCCAGGATTTTTCAACAAGCAGTTCTCTAGGGAACTAAGAGTGAGAACTCACTCACTCCTGTCACTCCTGTACTGAGAGATCCACACACAAGATCCAAACTCCTCTAATTAGGCCCCTCCTCCAACACTGAGGATCAGATTTTAATATGAGGCTTGACAGAGCCAAACCATATCTAAACCATCGCAGTAAGCTTTTATGTGTTATTTGTGACAGTTCATCAATCTGTATGCTTATAAATGAGTGTGTGCTATACTGTGAAGAAAAAGGTTTAAAAATTCTTCATAGATTGACAGGGAACAACAGCTAGAGTATTTTGTTATGTGGGAAAAGCAATTTCATATGTGTGCAGGCGAATTCTGGGGAATGGTTACAGTCTCTCTCTCTCTTTTTTTTTTTAAAGGGGTTTCACCATGTTGGTCAGGCTGGTCTTGAACTCCCGACCTCAGGTGATCTGCCCACCTTGGCCTCCAAAGTGCTTGGATTATAGGCGTGAGCCACCACACCTGGCCCACAGTCTCTTTTTTAACCTGGTAGGGGTTACACGATACTAATTTTATAATTCATTAAACTGTTTATGTACATTGTTTGCATGTTCTTCTCTATTAGCTATATATCACCATTTTAAAAACTAGAGAGAAGCAATTCCAGAATGGTGGCATGAGGAGCTTGGTGGACCTTCTCTCCCCAGCAAAACAACCATAATCGGTGAAAATTATTTTAAAAAAACAACGCTGGGAATTGTCAAAGGTCATACAGCAAATGGAGATACATTTATTCACGGAAACAGGCCCAGCACAGTAGCTCACACCTGTAATTCCAGCACTTTAGGACTCCAAGGTGCATGGATCCCTTGAGGTCAGGAGTTCGAGATCAGCCTGGCCAACATGGTGAAATCCTGACTCTACTAAAAATACAAAAATTAGCCAGGCATGGTGATGCATGCCTGTAATCCCACCTACTTGGGAGGCTGAGGCAGAAACATTGCTTGAACCTGGGAGGTGGAGGCTGCAGTGAGCCGAGATGGTGCCACTGCACTCCAGCCTGGGTGACAGAGCGAGACTCTGTCTCAAAAAAACAAAACAAAACAAAACAAAACAACACACACACACACACACACACACACAAAACCTTAAAAACAATAACAACAACAACAACAACAACAACAAAACCTTAAGGGAAGAGGAAGGCATGACAATATTTCATTGACTAGAGAAGATTAATCGAGAAGTAAAAATTACAAAATATTCACAAATCTTGAAGTTGAATAGTACTGTATAGTAACCCAAACAAGAAGAGAAAAAAAGAGATCACAAGGGATTGCCTAAGGTCAGGAGTTCAAGACCAGCCTGACCAACATGGTGAAACCCCATCTTTAAAAAAAAAAAAAAAAAAAAACGGCCGGGTGTGGTGGCTCACACCTGTAATCCAAACACTTTGGAGGCTAAGGTGGGCGGATCACCTGAGGTCGGGAGTTCAAGACCAGCATGACCAACATGGTGAAACTCTGTCTTTAAAAAAAAAAAAAAAATTCACTAGAGTGGATAACAGTACATTAGAGCTGGCAGGTGAAAGAACCAGGGAGCTAGAAGAGAGAGCAATATGGATCATGCAAACTGAAGATTAGACAGTAGAAAGAATCAAGAAAAATGAACAGAGAAATATGGGATGCCATTAGGTGCACCAACATACAAGTAACAGCAATACTAGCAGAAGTGAGACATGCAAGATGAAAGGGTAACGTTACACATAAATAAATAAATAAATAGAAGTGGAGACTGGAAGTATCAGGGGTGCAACTAGCTGGGGCCCGTGTTGAAACTGGTAAAGGAATTTACTAAGACAGTCATAGGTAAAGAAAAGCAGATTTAGGCCGGGCATGGTGGCTCACACCTGTAATCCCAGCACTTTGGGAGGCCAAGGTGGGTGGATCACCTGAGGTTGAGAGTTCAAGACCAGTGTGACCAACATGGAGAAACCCTGTATCTACTAAAAATACAAAATTAGCCAGGTGTGATGGCACATGCCTGTAATCCCAGCTACTTGGGAGGCTGAGGCAGGAGAATCTCTTGAACCTAGGAGACGAAGGTTGTGGTGAGCCCAGATGGCACCATTGCACTCCAGCCTGGGCAACAAGAGTGCAACTTTGTGTGAAACAAAAAAACTCATAATTATTTATTAGGAAAATGCAAATCAACCACAATGAGATGCAACCTCACATCTACTAGGATGTTATATTCAAAAATATAGACAAGGGGCCAGGCAAGGTGACTCCCGCCGTAATCCCAGGGCTTTGGGAGGCTGAGGCAGTTGATCACTTGAGGTCAGGAATTTGAGACCAGCCTGGCCAAAATGATGAAATCCTGTCTCTACAAAAATACAAAAATTAGCTGGGTATGGTGGCACACACCTGTAGTCCCAGCTACTTGGGAGGCTGATGTGGGAGAATCACTTGAACCTGGGAGGCAGAGGTTGCATTGAGGTGAGATTTCGCCATTACACTCCAGCCTGGGCCAGAGCAAGACTCCAGGTCAAATAAATAAATTAATTAAATACAGATGAGGCAGAGAGCGGTGGCTCTGCCTGTAATTCCAGCACTTTGGGATGCCAAGGTGGGTAGATCATTTGAGGCCAGGAGATCTAGACCAGCCTGACCTGTAGGGGGAAACCCCGCAAGAGCCGAGGCAAGGGTCTGAAGCCTCAGCATATCCTCATATAAATATATAGAATTAGAAAAGAATTAGGCTGGTCTGAAGGTAGTGAGTTATCTCAATTGATTGTTCACAGTCAGTTACAGATCGAACTCCTTGTTCTATTCTTTCCCTGCTTCTCACTACTGCACTTGACTAGTCTTTAAGAAAGAAAAATAAAAAAAAAATAATTAGAGATATAGTTACATAGTTATTCCTGTATATAATCATAAATAATCACATAGCTATTCATATGTAATCATAACAATATAGATCTGTTTAATCATATAATCTTTAATTTTACTAATAAGTCTCAGGTCAAGAAGTATGGGACTAAAGTGGCATTGGAAAAGAGGTGACCCTAAGGCAAGATGCTCTAAGTCCTCTGTCATGCCCGCATAAGGGCTGCTGGAGGACACCTTGGCTGTGCAACAGTGTCAGTGCTGTGAAAACGCCCACTGTTTAGTCAGCTAGGGAAGGAGACATCCAAGGTGGCCGAGACGTCTCCTTCCTCAGGGTGTTGGGGGGAGGGGAGTGAGGAGAAAACTTTGCTCTCCCAAGCTCTTGTGGTAAGCCTGACAGCTGTCAGGGAGGCCCACAGACATCCGGTGACTTAATTGTCTCTATTCGGTGCTGTGCTTCAGCGGTCACGTTCCATGGCTACTTTGAAGTTCTGCTTCTGCACCTGGTTCCTCTTTTTCTTAGAAGATAAGAATTAGTAATAGTAACATAAATCTTAGTGACCTCGTTATTTCTTGACAAGTATGAAAAAAGTGCTGACGCCTTAGGTTTTCTCCTTGCCTCAGCTTCTTCAAAGTCTTGGGCCCTTATCTCTAAGATATGTGATTTACCTGACCCTATCACTGACCACCATGACCTCATCCTACTTGCCCTGTCCCCTGCTTTGTACTCAGTAAAAGTCAGAGCGTCCAGGCACTTGGGGCCACTGCTGAACTCCACACTTTGGCTGGCAGTGGACCCCTGGGCCCAAACTCTGTTTTCTCTTTCTTGGTATTTTGTGTCTTTTATTTCCAGTTTCTTGTCTCCACACCTGCAGAGTGGGACTCATAGGACCCTGTAGGGCTGGACCCTACATTGACCAATGTGGCAAAACCCCGTCTCTACTAAAAATACAATTAAAAAAGTAGTTAGCTAGGTGTAGTGGTGCATACCTGTAATGCCAGCTACTGAGGAGGCTGAGGCGCAAGAATTCCTTGAACTCGGGAGGTAGAGGTTGCAGTGAGCCGAGATGGTGTCACTTCACTGCAGCCTGAGTGACAGATCAAGACCCTGTCTCAAAAAATATATAGACAATAACAAGTGTTAGAGAGAACTTGGAGAAATTGGGAACCTCATACATTGCTGGTAGGATTGTAAAATGTTGCAGTAACTTTGGAATACAGTTTAATAGCTCCTCAGAATATTAAACTTAGAGTTACCATTTTTACCATATTGCAACCCAATAATTCTACCCCTAGGTATATACTCAAGATAAATGAAAACATATGTCCACTCAAAAATTTCATACACGAATGTTCAGGGCAGCGTAATTATAATCGTCAAAAAGTGGAAACAATTCAAATGTTCATTTACTAATGAATGTATAAATAAAATGTGGTATAGCCATACAATAAATATTAATTTGCAATGTAAAGGAGTGAGGTACTGGCACAGGCTACAACACAGAACCTCAAAAACATTGTGCTTTGTGAAGGAAATCACAAAAGACCACATATGGTATGATTCAATTTTTAGGAAATGAGAATAAGCATATCCATAGAAATAGTATGCTGATGGTTGCCAAGGGCTGGAGGAGTAGAGCTAAAGGTTTGGAGCGGGTGCTGTGGCCATGCCTGCAGTCCCAGCTACTCGGCAGTCTGAGGCAGGAGGATTGCTTGAGTCCAGGAGTTCTGGGCTGTAGTGTGCTATGCAGATTGGGTGTACACACTAATTTGGCATCAATATGGTGACCTTCAGAGCCAGGGACCACCAGATTGCCTAAGGAGGGAGTGAATCTACCCGGGTTGGAAACATAGCAGGTCAAAACTCCTGTGCTGATCAGTAGTGGGATCACGACTGTGAATAGCCAGTGCACTCCAGCCTGGGCAACATAGCAAGATTCCATCTCTCTCAAAAAAGGCTATAGGGGTTTGTTTACTAATTTATTCATTCTCTTTAATTTTTTTTTTATTTTTGAGACAGAGTCTCACTCTGTTGCCCAGGCTGCAGTGCAGTGCATCTTGGCTCACTGCAACCCTGCCTCCCAGGTTCAAGTGATTTTCCTGCCTCAGCCTCCCGAGTAGCTGGGACTACAGGCACCTGCCACCATGCCTGGCTAAATTTTGTATTTCTAGTAGAGACGGGGGTTTCGCTATTTTGGCCAGGCTGGTCTCGAACTCCTGATCTCATGATCTGCCTGACTTGGCCTCCCAAAGTGCTGGGATTATAGGCATGAGCCTTCACTCCCTGCCCATTCACTCACTTATTGAGACAAGGTCTTGCTCTGTCGCCTAGCCTGGAATGAATTGTTGAGATCAGGGCTCACTGTAACACCCACCTCTCCTGTTCAAGTGATCCTTCTGCCTCAACCCCTGAAGTAGCTAGACTACAGGTATTGGCCATCATGTCAAGCTACTTATTTTATTTTTAGGAGAGACAGGGTCTCACTATGTTTCCCAGGCTGGTTTGGAACTCTTGGGTCAAGTGATCCTCCTGCTTCGGCCTCCCAAAGTGTTGGGATTACAGGCATGAGCCACTGCAACTGGCATGGGGTGTCTTTTAGGGGGACAAAAATGTTCTGAATTTATGGCCAGGGGTGGTGGCTCACACCTGTAATCCTAGCACTTTGGGAAGCTGAGGTGGGTGGATCATGAGGTCAGGAGTTTGAGACCAGCCTGACCAACCTGATGAAACACTGTCTCTACTAAAAATACAAATATTAGCCTGGTGTGGTGGCAGGTGCCTGTAGTCCCAGCTACTCAGGAGGCCGAGGCAGGAGAATCACTTGAACCTGGGAGATGAAGGTTGCAGTGAACAGAAATTGCGCCACTGCACTCCAGCCTGGGTGACAGAGTGAGACTCTGTCTCATAAAAAAAAAAGTTCAGGGGGTATATGTGCAGTTTTCTTATATAGATAAACGTGTGTGATGGGGGTTTGTTTACAGATTATTTCATGCCCCAGGTATTAAGTCTGGTAACCATTAGTTATTTTTCCTGATCCTCTCCCTCCTCCCACCCTCCACCCTCCAATAGGCCCCAGTGTGTATTGTTCTCCTCATGTGTTCATGTGTTCTCATCATTTAGCTCCCACTTATACTGAGAACATGCGGTATTTGGTTTTCTGTTCCTGCCTCAGTTTGCAAAAGATAATGATCTCCAGCTTCACCTATGTCTCTGCAAAGGACATGATCCCATTCTTTTGTATGGCTGCAGCTAAGCTTTTCACAAAGAACTTAACGTACTGAAGGTGAGGAAGTTGGTAGTAACAGTCAGACTTGAACCCAGGCTGCCTAGCACCAGAGTTTGGAGTCTTACCCAATTCTCCATATTGGCTCAGGGCTTGCGCTGTGTTTTCAGCCTAGCTCTGTCCACTGCCCTTCTTCACCTTCTGTTCTTCCCCATATCCTTGCAAGCCTCCCGCCCCCAAGGTTCATTAAGGCAGTCTCCAGAGCCACTTACTGTTCACAGCTCCCAAAAACTACCAAAGGTTTTTCACGCCTGGCTGTATTTGCCATGATAGAACCTCTGCATGGAAGGCAAGGGGGTCTGTGGGACAGGCGACTATTCATGAAATTATTGTCCTTATAGCCCAGAAAGATAAAGGCTAGGGAATGGAAGAGGCGGAGAAAGTGGTTAGGGACTCTCAATAGAAACTGTCTCAGCCCCGCCCCTTACGTTCACTTTCTAGCCGCAGCTCCTGGAACCTGGAGCCACGCCCAAACTGTCTTCGCACTCTCCTCTCAACTAGTCCCCAAAGCTCCATCTCCTTAAATAATCCTGGGCCCGACCATTTCAATACCTCCAAGACCTTACCTTCCTATCTCCCTCTACTAACGCACAGAAAACATTTCTCAAATAACACCTTCAGGATTATCTTCAAATATGGTCACACACACATGCAAACTCCATTCGGTCCTCCCTGGAGGGTGCTACTCCAAAATTTGGCTCCTGAACCCTCCAGAGCAAACCATTTAATTAGCCTCTAACCCTCATCCCATTCTTGACATCGCAAGCCCCGCCCCCATGGGCCTATAGGCTCCATCCCCTGACTCACATTTCAGGCCTGCCCCTTCGCTGCAAGCTCGCCCCCAGCACTTTCCAGACCCCGCCTCCTCGGAAAGGAATTCTCGAAGCCCCACTGGCCAGAACAGGGATCCAGCCCCGCACTCTCAACTAATCTGGTCCCCGCCTACTGCGATAACCCTCAATGAATATTCTAGGATAACCCCGAGGCTCCACCCACTCTAAGCACTTTCCGAGCCCCGCCCTCCCAAATCGTACCTCTTGGCACCACCCAACGCAGGGCAGTAGCCGCTGATTCCACGGGCCTACCCTTCTGAAACCAGCTCCTCTCCTAACTCGTCCCACGGGAGGCCCTGCCCCTGTCACGTTCCCTCCTTGGGGCGCAGGCGCAATGTAGCGCCCTGCTCTGCGTAGCACCGCCGCCCGCGCCGCCAGGGGGCGCGCGTCCAGCCACGCCAAGAGCTGCCCGGCGCTGTGGCTCGCGGCCTGCGCAGGAGAGGGGAACAGGTCAAAGCCGACCCTCGGCCTCGGCCAACCCCCACTCTTCCGGACGCCCGAAGATCTAGAAATGACCCTCAGGACACTGGGCGACCCCTAGCCACTCCCTCGATAGTTCCGGAGTCGCCGCTGTCCCTCCCCCTCACCCATCCCCGACCAACGCGGGTAGCCCGTGCACTCCCGCTTGCCCTCACGGTGTCCCTGGAGATCGCTGTTAGACTGCAATAGTCCTGGACACCTCTGAACATCCCGTGAGGTCCTCGACTGCCCCCTAATCACCCTGGACGCCCAACTCTTCGTCCATGACATCTCCTGGGAACGTTTCCCCCAGATATCCTGGGAGAACCCGGCCTGACCCTGTAGCCCTGGGACCCCCAATTCCCACTCTAGGTATCCTAGGCAACCCCTGCTATCCCCATGAATTCCCTCAGGAGGCCCGTTCCCCCCATGACCCATGTACCTCCAGATTCCCCCTCCACAGGTCCCCAGGGACCCCCAGCTCCCCTACTCCCAGTTCACTATAGACCCTGAGTGCCCAGGTGTCCCCAGTGACCACGGACAGACTCCTCCCCGCACATCTGCACATCTCCCTGGAGACTCCTGAGAGCCCCTCTCCGGTTCTGTTGTGCAGGCGTTTCGCTCCGGTGTGGGTGTGGGTAGGGGACCTCAAGCCCAGCCTCTATCGCTGGGCCCCTGCCCCCTGTCACCGCCACTTGGGCGCCAGAGCAGCTCTGTTTACCACCTGTCAGAAGGAAAAAATGTGGAGCGGACAGGCGGGAAGAGGGTGGCAGCGACTCGACCTGTCCTTCCCCAACACCCTCGATCCCTGTACCTCCTCTGCTCCCCCTAGGGTCCGTGGTGCACCCTGTGCGAGGACCCATGGCCAGTAGTGGGCCGGGTGGACGCAGGGCAGCCAGCAAGGAATTTTGAGTGCTGGGGCGTGTTCACCTGGCAACCCGCTTAGACCCTGGAGGCTGAGGCTGGCGGGTCTTGTGCCTGGTTCCTGGATCTGCAGGGTGGCGGAAAGGAGGTCAGCAAGGAAGCCTGGCTCCGTTAGCTGAGGACGCTGGGCTGGCTCCTTTTTCCATCCCAGGATGTTGTTATTCCAGCATAGGAAGGGAAGCCGAAGTCCAGAGAAATTAGGGTACTGTCTGACTGACCTCTGACAACTAAAAACAGGGACACAGAACTCGAAATTTCCACCAGAGCTTTGCACATAGTAGGCATTCAGTTTATTTGCAGGGAAAGTTTACCTCCCATTGTCCCAATTGGGAAACTGGAAATGTGTGGTGGGACTGAGTACCCTTTGAGCTTTTGGAACCAAAGAATGGTTTGGTGCTCTGAGTATTATGAGGTTGTGGGTCTCAAAAACTGGGGAGGACCACAGGGCACAGTGGCTCACGCCTGTAATTCCAGCACTTTGGGAGTCTAAGGCAAGTGGATCACTTGAGGCCAGGAGTTTGGGACCAGCCTGGCCAACATGGCAAAAACCCATCTCTACTAAGATTATAAAAATGGCCAGGCGCTGTGGCTCACAGCTGTAATCTCAGCACTTTGGGAGGTCGAAGTGGGTGGATCACCTGAGGTTGGGAGTTTGAGACCAGCCTGACCAACACGGAGAAACCGCATCTCTACTAAAAATACAAAATTAGCCGGGCATGATGGCACATGCCTGTAATCCCAGCTACTCGGGAGGCTGAGCCAAGAGAATCACTTGAACTGGGAGGGAAGGCTTCGGTGAGCTGAGATCGCGCCATTGCACTCCAGCCTGGGCAGCAAGAGCAAAACTCCGTTAGCCAGGCATGGTAGTTGGTGCCCATAATCCTAGCCAGTTGGGAGGCTGAGGTAGGAGAATCGCTTGAACCTGGGAGGCAGACGTTGAAGTGAGCTGAGATCGCACCACTGCACTCCAGCCTGGGTGACAGAGCAAGACTCCCTCTAAAAAAAATTAAAACAAACAAACAAAAAATTGGAGAGAGCAAGTACCTTGGAGAGTGGACAGGAAGTGGGGCCGAGAATTGAGGAGGCTCTGAATGCATTGGAGTTGGATGGGACACTAGCCAATGTCAGTGGAGGAACCAGGCCCCTTCTGTTTGAAAAGGGGAGTGTCTGGCCGGGCTTGGTGGCTCAGGCCTGTAATCCCAGCACTTTGGGAGGCCAAGGTGGGCAGATCACGAGGTCAAGAGATCGAGACCATCCTGGCCAACATGGTGAAACCCCGTCTCCACTAAAAGTACAAAAATTAGCTGGGTGTGGTGGTGCATGCCTGTAGTCCCAGCTACTTGGGAGCCTGAGCCAGGAGACTCACTTGAACCTGGGACACGGAGGTTGCAGTGAGCTGAGGTCGTGCCACTGTACTCCAGCCTGGCGACAGATCAAGATTCTGTCTCAAAAAAAATTAAAAAAAAATAAATAAATAGAAAGAAAAAGAAAAGGGGAGTGTCTGGAAACATAAGGGGTACACTGAGGTGTCAGACAGTGCAGTGGCTAGAGTTCTTCCCTCATGTCTGCATCCTCTCTACACCCCCAGTCCTGCCAGCAGTCTCGGTGACACAAGCACTACTCTCTCAGCTCCAGTCCTTGCCCTTGCTCCCGGAATTTCGGCCCTGCTGGTGTCAGCTCTCTCAGTAAACACCTATCCAGCATCCTGGGGCCCCGCCCCCACCCCTCCTAAGCAGGGAGCATTCTGACACAGTGTGACTGTAGTGGGAGGAGGAATGGGATTGCTGTGAGAGAGGGCCTTTACTTTACCAAAGAAGAAACTGAGGGTCTGAGAGGCTCAGTAACCTGCCCAGGTTCCTGCAGCAAGGCAACAACGCCAGTTTTAGGCAGCTTACCTACAACACTCACTTGGTCAGTGACTGTTTCACTGCAGGCTGTGGACACACTCTATCCTAATGTCCATTCTGGCTGGTTGTGCAGCCTCTCTGGTTCGCCTTTCAGATGCCTGGTGTTCTCATAGGTGAAAGGGTCTGAACAGTTCCTGCTTTCATTCCACCTGCAATCCTCTGCCTCTTCCACATCTGACCAGACCTTCTCTGAGAGTGGATACCCAGGACCTCCTTCACTGCTTCTCCCAGTTCTTGTTGAGACTTCCAGCACCTAAATCTGGAGAGGGCAGCTTCCAATCTGGGGCTCCAGGTTTTACGAACCTGTGGATGGGAGAGTGAGGTGCTTGCACACTGTGAAGGAGAGCTTGAGCCTCTGTAGCTCCATAGATGGAAGGGTCTTGCAGATTACAAGGACTGGGGACAGGTGGATGGTGAGGGGAGGCATCAAAGCACTACACAGAATCTATTGACATGAATCAGGGAGTTGCCAACTGGATGGGAGGCTCAAGGGTCTGGGGATGGAAAACTGCTTCCAGGTTGGGAGGCATTCAGGCTTGGGGAGTCATGAAGGAATGAAGGGGTCCAAGGACATCTTCCAGCATGATTACAGGGGCAGAGCCCCAGGATGCTGGATAGGTGTTCACTGAGAGAGCTGACAGCAGCAGGGCCAGAATTCCAGGGGCAGGAGCAAGGACTGGGGCTGAGAGTGCTTGTGTCACCGAGGCTGCTGGCAGAGCTGGGGGTGTAGAGAGGATGCCGACATGAGGGAGGAACTCCAGCCACTGCATTGTCTGACATTTCAATGTACCCCTCTGGAAAGTGGGGGTGATGAGATATGCATGGTAAGATTGTCAAGAGAGGAACAAAGCTTCCAAATTGCTGGTGGTGTGCCCAGCCAAGCTATTTGGTAGCAGTGTTGGTGCTTATCTTTAATATTGATTACAATCACACTGTGGGGGAGCAAACCCCCACTTAGTTCTGCCCCACTGTGGATTCAAACCAATGCCCCTCTTGGCCTCATCAATTTATGATACAACCCAAATTACCCAGCCAGGTGCAGTGGGTCACACCTGTAATCCCAGCACTTCAGGAGGCCGAGGTGGGTGGATCACTTGAAGCCAGGAGTTTGAGACCAGCCTGGCCAACATGACAAAAGCCTGTCTCTACTAAAACTACAAAAATTTGCCAGGCGTGGTGGTGGGCGCCTGTAGTCCCAGCTACTCGGGAGGCTGAAGCATGAGGATTGCTTGAACCCAGCAGGCAGAGGTTGCAGTGAGCTGAGATCACACCACTGCACTCCAGCCTAGGTGAGAGAAGCAGGTGTGGTGACTCACGCCTGTAATCCCAGAACTATGCGAGGCAGAGGAGGGCAGCTCAGGAGGTCAGGAGTTCGAGACCAGCCTGGCCAGCATGGTGAAACCTCGTCTCTACTAAAAATACAAAAATTAGCTGGGTGTGGTGGTGGGTGCCTGTAATCCCAGCTATTTGGGAGGCCGAGGCAGGAGAATCACTTGAAACTGGGAGGTGCAAGTTGCAGTGAGCCGAGATCATGTCACTGCACTCCAGCCTAAGTGACAGAGTAAGACTCCACCTGAAAAAAAAATCCCATAATAATAGTTAGGCACAGTGGCTCGCACCTGTAATCCCAGCACTTTGGGAGGCCGAGGCAGGGGGATCACCTGAAGTCAGGAGTTCAAAACCAGCCTGGCCAACATGGTGAAACCCCGTTTCTACTAATAATACAAAAATTAGCTGAGTGGGGTGGGGAATGCCTGTAATCCCAGCTATTCGGAGGTTGAGGCAGGAGAATCGTTTGAACTCAGGAGGTGGAGGTTGCAGTGAGCCAAGATCGTGCCACTGCACTCCAGCTTGGGCGACAAGAGCGAAACTCCATCTCCAAAATATAATATGATAATAATAATAGTTAAAAAATAAACCAATTACCCCTTTTAGCCTCATCTCATTCAAGGATTAAGTCAATTTCTCTCACAGCCCCACTCAATTTTTAATTTAACAAAAGCTTCTATTTATTTGTTTAATTAGAGACAAAGTCTTGCTACATTGGCTAGGCTAGTCTCAAAACTCTGGCCTTAGTCATCTTCTCACCTTGGCCTCCCAAAGTGCTGGGATTACAGGCATAAGTCACCATGCCCAGCCTATTTTGAGAATTTATATTTTATTTTTTTAGAGACAGGGTCTTGCTCTGTCACTGAAGGTGGAGTGCAATGGTGTGATCATAGCTCATTGTAACCTCAAAGTCTTGGGCTCAAGTGACCCTCCTGCCTCAGCCTCCCAAGTAGCTGGGACTGCAGGTGCATGCCACCATGCCCAGCTAATTTAAGTTTTTAAGGGGTTGAGATATAATTGACTTCAATTTGATAGGTTTTGAATATGTTTACACCAGTGAAACTATCACTATGGTGAAAATACTAAACAGGCTGGGTGTGGTGGCTCACCTCTGTAATCTCAACACATTGGAAGGCTGAGGTGGGAGTATTTTTTGAAGCTAGGAGTTTAAGACCGGCCTGGACAACATAGTGAGACCCTTCACCCCTGTCTCTACAAAAATGTACAAAATTTCCAGGGCGTGGTGGCACATATTTGTAGTTCTATCTACTCGGGAGGATACCTTGAGCACAGGAGTTTGAGGTTACAATGAGCTATGATTGTGCCACTGCAATCCAGCCTTCGTGATAAAATATGTCTCTTTCACTTAAAAAAAAAGTGCTCAGGAGGTGTTGAAAAAAAAGAAAAAAAACATACTGAGCATAACCATTTCTGCCAAAAGTTTTCTCCTGACCTTTGTATTTTTTCTCTTTCCTGACCTTTTGGCCCCCTGCCCCCAGGCAATCACTTATCCACTTTCTGTTACTGTACATCAGTTTGCATTTTATTAGATTTTTATATAAATGAAATCATACAGCATGTGCTTTTTTGGAGAGTGGGTCTGGCTTCTTTTACCATAATTATTTTTGAGAACCATCCAAATCCTTCATTGTTTTTTACTGCTGAGTTGTATTCCCCTGTATGAATATACCATAGTTTGTTAATTCATTCACCTATTTGTTTCTTTCAAAATTGTTTTCTTTTTAAGAAATGGGGTCTTCTTGGCTGGGCGTGGTGGCTCACGCCTGTAATCCCAGCACTTTGGGAGACCGAGGCGGGTGGATCATGAGGTCGAGAGATCAAGACCATCCTGGTCAACATGGTGAAACCCCATCTCTACTAAAAATACAAAAAATTAGCTGGGCACAGTGGCGCGTGCCTGTAATCCCAGCTACTCAGGAGGCTGAGGCAGGAGAATTGCCTGAACCCAGGAGGTGGAGGTTGCAGTGAGCCGAGATTGTGCCATTGCACTCCAGCCTGGGTAACAAGAGTGAAACTCCGTCTTAAAAAAAAAAAACAAGAAAACAAAAAAGAAATGGGGTCTTTTTTTTTTTTTTTAAGAGATGGGGGTCTCGCTATGTTGCCCATGCTGGAGTACAGTGGTTATTCACAGGTGTGATACCACTACTAATCAGCATGCAAGTTTTGACCTGCTCTGTTTCCGACCTGGGCCGGTTCATCCCTCCTTAGGCAACCTGGTGGTCCCCCACTCCCAGGAGGTCACCATATTGATGCAGAACTTAGTGTGGACACCCGATCGGCATAGCCCAGAACTCCTGGGCTCAAGTGATCCTCCCACCTCAGCCTTCCAAGTAGCTGGGACTACAGGCACATGCCACTGCGCCTGGCAAGAAATGGGGTCTCATGATGTTGCTTAGGCTGGTCTTGAACTCCTGGGCTCAAGTAATCCTCCTGCCTGCACCTTCACCCTCCCAAAGGGATAGGATTACAGGCATTAGCATTTTTAAAATAGAGAAAATGTTCCTATGTTTTCACAATAGAGACAATGTTTTACTATGTTGCCCAGGTTGGTCTCCAACTCCTGAGCTCAAGTGATCCTCCCACCTCAGCCTCCCAAAGTGCTGTGATTATAGGCATGAGCCACTGGGCCTGGCCTGGCCTTATTCAACCTTTTTTTTTTTTTTTTGAGATGGAGTTTCGAGTTGTCGCCTGGGCTGGAGTGTGGGGTGGCTTGATCTTGGCTCACTACAACCTCCACCTCCCAGGTTCAAGCAATTCTCCTGCCTCAGACTCCCGAGTAGGTGGGATTACAGGCGCCTGCCACTATGCCAGGCTAATTTTTTTTTGTATTTTTAGTAGAGATGGGGTTTCACTATGCTGGCTAGGCTGGTCTCGAATGCCTGACCTCGTGATCTGCCCTCCTCTGCCTCCCAAAGTGCTGGGATCAGAGGCCTGAGCCACCATGCCTGGCCTTATTCAACTATTAATGGACATTTGGGCTATTTCCAGGTTTTGGATATTAACAAATATTATGGACTGGATCGTGTCCACTCATAAATATATATGTTAAAGCCCTAACCTCCAATGTGACTGTATCTGCAGATCGCTTCTGTAGGAGGAAATTAAGGCAAAATGAGATCATTAAGGTGGAGCCCTAATCAGCTAGGACTGTAACCTTATAAGAAACAAAAGAGAGTGATCTCTGCCTCTGTGTGTCTTGCTCTCTCTCACCCCTTTACTCTCCTTCATTCTCTTAATTCCATGTGAGGACACAGAAATTTGGCATCTGCAAAATTTGGCATCTCTCCAAAAGGAGAGACCTCGCCAGGAACCAGATTGGCTGCCACCTTGATCTTGGACTTTCCAGCTTCCAGAACTGTGAGAAACATGTTGTTTAAGCCAGCTAGTCTATGATATTTTGTTACAGTAGTTCTAAATGAATAAGACAAAAAAATGAAGCTGGCTATGAACATTTGTAAGACAAGGCTGTGTAGATGTATGCTTTCTTTCAGATAAAGACTCAGGAATGGAATGGCTGGCTCATATGTACACCTACATTTAACTTTTTTTTTTTTTTTAGACAGAGTTTCAATCTTGTTGCCCAGGCTGGAGTGCAGTGGTGAGATCTCGGCTCACTGCAACCTCTGCCTGCTGGGTTCAAGTGATTCTCCTGCCTCAGCCTCCTGAGTAGCTGGGATTACAGGCACATGCCACCACACCTGGCTAATTTTGTATTTTTAGTAGACACAGGTTTTCTGCATGTTGGTCAGGCTGGTCTCGAACTCCTGACCTCACGTGATCCCCCAGCCTTGGCCTCCCAAAGCACTGGGGTTATAGGCATGAGTCGCTATGCCTGGCCATGTACATTTAACTTTTAAAGACACTACCAAACTGTTTCCTAAAGTTGCAACATGATTTTACATTTCCACTGGTGGTATAGGAGTTCCATTTCCTCCATATCTTCAGCAACAGTTGGTATGGTCTGACTTTTAAATTCTAACTAGGACCTTTAGTTAACAGAGCGCCAAGCCTGCAGCAGCCTGAGGCCAAGCACTCCTGCTGGCTCCCACAGCCTGGCCTCCTTGCTGGCCGCCAGGTAGGTCACCAAGCGGGTCCAGGAGCTAGGCACGGGACCAGCCAGCCTCAGCCTCCAGGACCTGGGCAGGCCGCCAGGTGAGCGCGCCCCAGCGCTCAAAACTCGTCGCTGGCTGCCCTGCGTCTACTCCGCGACTACTGGCCATGGAGCCGCGCACAGGGGGCGCCACGGACCCTAGGGGGAGCAGAGGAGGTACAGGGATTGGGGGTGTTGGGGAAGGACAGGGCGAGTCACAGCCACCCTCGTCCCTCCTATCTGCTCCACATTTTTTTCTTCTGACAGGTGGTAAACAGAGCTGCTCTGGCGCCCAAGTGGCGGTGGAAGAGGGCAGGGGCCCAGCGATGGAGGCTGGACTTGACGTCCCCTATCCATCCCCACACCCGAGCTAAAGGGCCGCGTACCAGAGCAAGGGAGGGGCTCTCAGGAGTCTCCAGGGAGATGTGCAGATGTGCGGGGAGGGGTCTGTCCGTGGTCACTGGGGACACCTGAGCTCTCAGGGTCTGTAGTGAACTGAGGATAGGGGAGCTGGGGGTCCCTGGGGACCTATGAAGGGGGAATCTGGAGGTACATGGGTCATGGGGGAAGAGGCCTTCTGAGGAAATTCATGGGGATAGCAGAGGTTGCCTAGAATACCTAGAGTGGAAATTGGGGGACCCAAGGCTACGGGGGTCAGGTCATGTTCTCCCAGAATATCTGGGGGAAACGGGGTCCCCGGAGATATCATGGGCGAAGAGTTGGGCGTCCAGGGTGATTACTGGGCAGTCGAGGACCTCACAGGGTGTTAAGAGGTGTCCAAGACTATTACAGTCAAACAGCAATCTCCAGGGACACCGTGAGGGCAGGCGGGGGTGCACCGGCTACCCACGATGGTCCGGGATCGGGTGAGGGGAGGGACAACGGCGACCTCCGGAACTATTGAGGGAGTGGCCAGGGATCCCCGGCTATCCTGAGGGCGTGGGGGTTGTCCGAGGCCGAGGGTTGACGTTGATCTGTCCCCTTCTCCCGCGCAGGCCGTGGAACCTCTCAGCCGGCGGGCCCCAGCTCCCGGCAGTTCCTGGCGCGGCTGGACGCGCGCCCCCTGGCGGCGCGAGCTGCGGGCGACGTGGCGGCGCTGGTACGCAGGGCAGGTGCCACATTGCGCCTGCGCCCCAAGGAGGGTGCGTGCAGGGGCGGGGTCTCCCCGGGGGGCGGGTTCGGAGAGGAACTGGGTTCAGAGGGGCAGGCCCCGGGGATCAGCAGCTACTGCCCTGTCTTGGGTGGAGCCAAGGGGTGCGAATTGGGGGGGCAGGGCTCGGAGGGTGCTTCGAGTGGGTGGAGCCTTGGGGTTATCCTAGAATATTCCTTGAGAGTTATCGCAGTAGGCGAGGGCCAGATTAGTTGAGAGTGCGGGGCTGTCTTCTGAAGTCTAGGAGGAGAGAAAAGAAAGAAAGAAAAAAGAAGTGAGAGTGCGGGGCTGGATACCTGTTCTGGCCGACTGGGCTTCGAGGGTCCTTTCCGAGGAGGTGGGACCTGGAGAGTGCTGGGGGCGGGCATGCAGCGAAGGGGCAGGCCTGAAATGGAGTCACGGGGGTGGAGCCTATAGGCCCATAGGGGCGGGGCTTGAGATGTCAGGAATGGGATGAGGGTTAGAGGCTAATTAGAGGGTGTGCTCTGGAAGAAGGTTTGGGAGCCAAATTTTGGAGTAGCACCCTTCAGGGTAGGCTGAATGGTGTTATTTGAGGGATGTGTTCTGTGTGTTATTAGAGGGAGATAGGAAGGCCTGGAAGATTATTCACATGGGTGAGCCCAGGATTGTTTGTTAAGAAGGTGGGGTCGGAACAGTTATTTGTTTGGGCTGAGAGCCTTTAAAAGATTACTTGAGGGGATGGTGCCTAGTGAAATGGTGGGCCAGTTTGTAAATGAGCTGCAGGGGCTAGGCAAATAGATGAGGTTAGACTGTTAACTCAGGGAGCAGGTCCTAGGTAGTTTCCATGGCATGTCCCCCCACAGCCCTCTCCACCACTTTTATTCCCCAGCTGTTAGTGTGTTGGACTCTGCAGACATAGAGGTCACAGACAGTCGCCTGCCTCATGCCACTATTGTGGATCACCGGCTCCAGGTACCAACTCATCCTTCTATTAGAGGCCACCTGCCTCAGGGCAATCTATGTACACCCGTGTCCTTTATTTCAGCACCGTCGGTTAGAGACATGTAACAAGCCTCCTCAAGTGATCCAGGGTAAGGCACCTCGTGCTCCAAAGCCCTCCCAGGCCTCTGGTCATTTCTCTGTGGAGCTGGTCCGCGGTCCCGCAGGCTTTGGCCTCACCTTAGGTGGGGGCCGGGATGTGGTTGGGGATGCTCCGCTGTCCGTGCGTGGGCTGCTGAAGGATGGCCCGGCACAGCGCTGTGGTCGTTTGGAGGTGAGCCCTGAAGCCCCTTCCACTGGTAGGTGCTATCCCTCCCTTTGTTGCGGTGCTCTCCTTTTGCCTTTCCAACACTATTGCCTTGCACTCTTGCAGGTCGGGGACCTCGTGCTCCACATCAACGGGGAGTCAACGCAGAGCCTCACCCATGCCCAGGCTGTGGAGCGGATCCGAGCTGGAGGCCCCCAGCTCCACCTGGTGCTTCATCGGCCTCTAGAGACCCACCCTGGCAAGCCTCGAGGGGTGGGAGAGCCCCAAAAAGGAGCTGGTGGGTTTCCCAGGGGAGAGAAGTCAGAGATCAGTGAGGAGAAGGGAGAGGTTCACAGAGTGGAGAGGCTGAAATTCTGGGTAGGAAGGGCTTGGTGGTCTCTGTGGGGAGAGTCTGCAAGAGGTCATGGTATTCTCACAAGTAGGAGCAGGGAGGGGCACAGGGTCCCAGGATAGGAATAAAGCAGGGGCAGGGAGGGGTGTCAGTCCCGAGGATAGGGATTTCAGAGGATGGGCTTTCCACGTACTGCGGGGAGAGAAGGGAAGGGGTTTGGGATAAAAGCAAGTGTTTGGAAGGAAGGGTCTTAGTTATCAGAGGGGAAGGCAGAGTGGATCTTACCCGGGATGAAAGGGGAAGGAGATCCAGAGGGTATAGGGTCTAGTTCTGAAAAAGAGAGTCGGTGATTTGGGAGTCAAGGGAGGTGGGATGAGAGGAGAGAGTAGGGGATCCTAGATGAGAGGGGCTTGATTTCCTTTGGAGACTGTGGGAAATGATTTCTGAGGAGCATGTTCTGGATCCAGGAGGGGAGGGGTCTGGGGAAAGGAGGTGTTGGGGTTGTGAGGGGCGGTGCTGGCCCCAGAAGGCCTCGAGAGGAGATTTTTCTAAGGGCCAAGTTCTCCATCTCCCGCAGCCTTTGGGTTATTCTGTCCACCCTCGGTCAAAAGCCCTGATTTCCCTTCCCTACTTCGCCACCCAATCTAACCCGTAGTCCCGCCATTGCCAGATCGCAGCCCAGATCCTGGAAGGCCGGAGGTGATGGGGTCTCGCAGCAGCAGCACTTCCCCAGTTCAGCACCCTCCATCCCGAACGACACTCAAGAAGACCCGGGGCAGCCCGGAGCCTAGTCCAGAGGCAGCCGCCGATGGCCCCAAGGTTTCTCCTCCTGAGCGCCTCACTGAGGATCCCAAAGATCAGATCCCTGGTTCCCCGGGTCCCTGGCTAGTGCCCAGCGAGGAACGGCTCTCGCGGGCCCTAGGGGTCCGGGGGGCAGCGCAGCTCGCTCAGGAGATGGCAGCCGGAAGGCGGAGGCACTGAGCCTACCTCTGACGGCTCGGGGCTCACTAGTTACCGCCCAACCTGGATCCGGAGCGTCTGACCGCCCCGCACTTGGCACCTCCCCAGAGCTTCCATTTGGTCTGGTCCCCCCTCCCGCTGCGCAGTGGCTCTGCCCGCACTCCCCTTGCAGCGTCAGTGGTACAACCCTTCCAGCCCAGCCAGCCTGAACTTCTGGTTCTGGGGCGGACGGGTGTGTGTGTGTGTGTGTAATAAAATGGTTCGATCTGGTCTTGGCTTGCCAGGTGCTTGAGGCGGGGTAGCGCTGCTCAGAGCACTCTGTAAAGGAGCGAGTGGGTGGAACCTGTTTAGAGTAATCGCTGACGTGCTTCGTGCAGCTGGTTTCCTGCTTGCACACAGATCTTTGCTTCTGCCTGCCGGTTCTCAGCCCGGCGTGCTTTCTCCCCATTCTTTTTCTCTTTACTGTCTCCTGCTCCTCTCCTTATTCATTCATTTCACCTTTTTGGAGGTGTGCAGGGGCTCACACATAAATTATTGTGCATGGCATGGTGGGCCTGTAGTGACGGGACTACACCAGTGTACCCACAGTCCTGGCTCTGAATCATCCAGACCCTCAGCTGACGTCGGGATAGCAGCAGGGCGAAGCAGGGCGGCTTCCTTCGCCAGGGGCCTGTGGTCTCCCACTTCCGGCCTAGTCGGCTAGCTTTTGCTGGCACCTAGGCTACCACTCTCCGGGCACCAGCTGGGGACCTGGAGCCCCCTTTGGGGCGGAGCAGGGAAGGTGTGAGTCAGCGCCCCCGGGCGGGCCGGGCTAAAAAAGGCTGTTAAAACCTTTGGGCCGTTCCCCCATTTTCCGTACATGGTGAAGAACTGCAGCCGGGCTTGTGTGCACACGCCACACACTGGGCGTTCCTGGCCCTGAGAGAGGCCCAGAGTTTCCTTCACCCTGGGAACAGAGCCCCACAGCCAGGGCTTATATGGCCAGCGGGACTCCAACCGGGGTAGCCACGAGGAAGGCGCTGGCAGAGGACAGAAATGTCCAGTCACCTCCGCTGTCGCCACATCCTGAGCACTGGGTCCCATCCCCCCAGGAGGGAAGCTGTGGTCTGACGGAACGGGCAACTTTTGCCCCTGTGGGGAGAAGACGGGAAAGGAAGAAAGAAATTAAAGGATCTGGTGGGGCGCGGTGGCTCACCCCCATAATCCCAGCACTTTGGGAGGCCGAGGCTGGCGGATCACCTGAGGTCGACCAACATGGAGAAACCCCGTCTCTACTAAAAATACATAAATTAGCCAGGGGTGGTGACATGCGCCTGTAGTCCCAGCTACTCGGGAGGCTGAGGCAGAATAGCTTGAACCTGGGAAGCGGAGGTTGTGGTGAGCCGAGATTACACCATTGCACTTCAGCCTGGGTAATAATACTGAAACTCCGTGTCAAATAAATAAATAAAAATAAAAGAGAAAGGAAAAAAGAAAAGAAAGAAATTAAAGGACCCGAGTGTGAGAGTCCAGGTGGCCTTGGAGAGGAAAGAGGAATGGTGAAGACAAGCTGAGAGAGCTGGGAGCTGGAGGGTGAAGAGGTGAACACTGAGTGGTTAGAGCTGTAGATAGACACTGTGGGAGAGTGTGCCAGGGTGGCTTCCAGCTACCCCTGACTCAGAGCCTGGTGGAGGTGTGGTTCTTCAGAGGTCAGCAAAGGGCTCAAGAGCCCCAGTCCTATAAATACAGTCCCACCCAGGAGACTAATAATAGTAACCCCAGCCAGCATGCAGGTAGTTTTATCTTTGCTACTGGCTTTATTGCAATATTTATTTTCATCTACAGTAGTTGCACATCCACTCAATGATCCAAATATGTTCATTTCACAGAGGAGGAAAGTGAGGCCCAGGGAGCACAGATAGCTTGAGAGAAGAGGGTCAAAGCAAGATTTAATCAAGGCCTGATTTCCAAACCTGTCCTCTTAATTTCACTTGCATCGACAAGTATTCATTGAACCCCAACTGTATACATTGTACTGTGCTAGGTGCTGTGGAGATGCTGGAGGAACAAGACATAAAATTTCTATTTTTGTGTAGCTGAGGGTAAACATGTCAGACAAAAAAGACAAGAAAATGAATAAATAAAAAACCAGGTTGGGCGCAGTGGCCACTTGTAATTCCAGCATCTTGGGAGGAGGCCGAGGCTGGCAGATCACCTGAAATCGAGAGTTTGAGACCAGCCTGACCAACATGCAGAAACCCCATCTCTACTAAAAATACAAAAATTAGCTGCGCATGGTGGCAGGTGCCTGTAATCCCAGCTACTCAGGAGGCTGAGGCAGGAGAATTGCTTGAACCCGGGAGGCGGAGGTTGCAGCAATGAGCCAAGATCGTGCCACTGCACTCCAGCCTGAGTGACAGAGCAAGACTTCATCTCAAACAACAACAACAACAACAACAACAACAACAACACCCATTTCAGGACAGACGTGGTTTGTGCCTGTAGTCCCAGCACTTTGGGAGGCTGAAGCAGGTGGGTTGCTTGAGCCTATGAGTTTGAGACCAGCCTGGGCAACATAGAGAGTCCTCCTCTCTACAAAAATTTGAAAAAAATAGCTGGGTGTGGCAGCTCATGCCTGTAGTCCCAACTACTTGGGACGCTGAGGTGGGAGGATCACTTGAGCCCAGGAGGTCAGGGCTGCAGCGAGCCATGATTTTGCCACTGCACTCTAGCTGGGATGACAGTGAGACCTTATTTAAAAAAGAAAAGTCCAGGTGCGGTGGCTCACACCTGTTATCCCAGCACTTTGGGAGGCCAAGGCGGGTAGATCACCTGAGGTTGGGAGTTCCAGACCAGTCTGACCAACATGGAGAAACCCCATCTAAA